ATGATAAGGGGAAATTATTTCCAGCTAAGAATTCTGAGTCTCACCTAGTTATCAATTAACTGTGAAAGAAGAATAAATACATTTTTAGACATTCAAGATTTAAAAATATGTATCAGCGCCTTTGCATTCCTTTTCAGGGTCCTAAGAAGATATGCTATGGCTAAATGAGGGAGAAAACCAAGAAAGAGAAAAGCATGTAATATGGGAAGTGAGATCCAACAGAAAGGCAGAGGGAAAACCTGGAATGATGGGAAGGAAATGTACCAAGATGACAGTCGTATGCCAGGGAGGCCTTGAGAAAAATCACCCTGGACCATCACAGGAATATGGAAGGCCACAGGAGAGCTGTGTCCAGTGGAGGAAAAAAAAATATGATATATTATCTGGTGAGTTTGATCATCATAGCTGGAGGGGTATTTTAGTTCATTGGCAACTTTGAAGCAGAAGTGGTCAAGAATCAGAAAACCAGGCAAATATAAAAAACAAACGAATTGTTAACGCTGGGAAAAACAAAAGTTGTACAGGAAAAGAAATGTATTATTAATAGTACACTATGTGGCTCAGCTGTGACCAATCTTTGCATAGGCCTAATTATATAAATATTGAGTATTTGATTAACAAAAGTTGTGATATAATCATGTTGGAAGGATGAGAAGAAGGGAAGTATATGATGTGATGTAAAAGAACTAAATCTTTGGGGTCCCTGGGTGGCTCAGTCACTTGGCATCTGCCTTCGGCTCGGGTCATAATCCCAGGGTCCTGGGATCGAGCCCCATGTCGGGCTCCCTGATTGGCGGGAAACCTGCTTTCCCTTTCCCACTCCCCCTGCTTCTGCTCCTGCTCTCACTGTCTCCCTCTCTCTGTCAAATAAATAAATAAAATCTTAAAAAAAAAAAAAAAGAATTAAATCTTCATCTGATTCTCACTAGAAAGTCAACAGATATTTATTCCAGAATGTGGAACTAGCAGCATAAACCGTTGTCTTGAAGTACAAAGGCAAATCGCAGAAGAGATCACTAAAAGCTGAAAGTTGCTGTCTCATGGGAGGGGAAAATGAGGATGTAGCAGGAACCCTTTGCACTCCTGGGCTCATGACCCCCTCCTCCATCTTCAAAGCCAGCAGCCTATAGCATCTTCCAACCTCTCTTTCTTTCTCCCTCTGTTTCTGTTGTTTTATCAACTTTTCTTCACCTTGAACTTCCTGCCTGCTTCTTACAGGGACTCTAGGGATTACAGTTAGACCTCACCGGGATAATCTAGTCTGATGCCCCCATTTCAAGATCCTTTACTTAATACACCAGCCTCTCCCTTTTACCATCTCAGGTGACATAATCACAGGTTCTGGAGACTAAAACATGCACATCTTGGGAGGCCATTAAGCACCTACAATGTTAACCTTTTGGACATTAAGGGGAGGAACAACTACTTTTCCTTTTTACGGTTATTTTTGTAACATTTATACTGTGCTCAACTTCCATGTATGTTACACAACGTACATGTGTGAGCTTCCACCTGTATACTCTTAGTATGAGAGTCAGGTAGACAGCACAGGTAGGCAGCCACCATTCCAGGCCCTTCTTTGTTGTCTTGTGGTACATTCAGGGCCAAGGGAAACTCTGCATTTATATGACTTGCCCATAGGCTGTTATGGGTCACACTCCCTACCACGTGGTCTAAAGTTGGCTCTGGAATAATCATAGCCTTGGATTTTAGAGATCCAGACTCAGACTCCACTCTCAGGAAAACAGCATATTTTACTAATGTACCAATATAAAGGACGAGGGAATCTGTTACAAAGAGATGTGCTGTCTTCTTAGGTTCATAGAGAAATACCTCAATAAAATGACTGTAAACCCACAAGCTACAGAGAGGTTAAGAAATGATGTCCGTGGAGGATTCTGCCTCTAAGAATTAAGTCGTCCAGAAAGTTGAGGTTTACAGAGAAAAGTATACTTCAGACTATCAGAGCGGGAACAGTGGAAAAAAGAAAACAATTAAAAACAGCCCCACTGAGTGGAGGAAGAGAAAACTGAGAACTTTGGGGCAGATTGGATGGCTATGAAATGTCAAATGGGACCTTGAAGCAGAAGAGACTAACAGAAAGGAAAAGTTAGATGGAGAATTAGAGAAGGGGCCCCATCTTAGCTGTCACTACGCCAGAAATGGTGCGTGAGGAAACGTGCCAAAGAGCGGAATAATTCTCCCCAAGGGAACCATATCCAGGGAGCCCGTGGGAAACGGCTCCTTTCACACACACATGTGCACAATGTATAAACACACGAACGCATGTGCATGTACACGCACACATACACACAAGCACTCACATGCACACACAGACATGCACACATATATGTGCATATACACACGGGTGCACATAGGCACGCACATGTGCACACAAACACACACGTATACACAGTGTATTGTACCATTGGAAGCAACCAGGAACTCTCAACTTAAGACCCCAGGGCATCTAAACCAAGGAGTTACAGAAAATCTGGACAAATCTGAGAGGAAAGAGGAAGAAGAGCAGCACAAAATACTAGAAGCGTTACAAACGGAGTTTCAAGGTGATGGAACCGTTATAGCTGGAGATCAAGTTATTACTTGGCCACTAGGAGAATGGGCTGATAAATCTAAGGCATTAGAACTCTCTAAGGCAGTGGTTCGTAGCCCCCGCTGCACATGAGAATCACCTGGGGAACCTTTTCAACACAGTGATGCTTGAGCACCACCCCAGAGCAAATAAATCAGTCGGCATCTTGGGCAAGCGTTCTCAAACTTGAGTAGGCCTAAGAATCCCCTGAGGGCCTGATAAAACACTGATTTCTGGGCTCCACCCCCAAGTTTCTGATCAGTAACACCGGGGAGGAGCTTGAGAATTCTGACTTTCTAACCCATTCCCAGGTGACACTCAGGCCCAGGGACCCCATATTGAGAACCACATTTTGTAAGGAAAGGCACTGCAAAGGTAGGACAAACAAAATGGGGGCCGAGCAGGACAATGAGAGATGGAGGCAGGCCGAGGTTAGATCTCCGGGGCAAGATTATCCCATTTAGGAAGCAGCACTGGGCAATATTTGTTTGTCCAGCGGATGCTTTCTGAATGGCCAGACCTTCTGATTTCATTCCCTCTCACTCTGGGGGACCTCCTAAGACAGTGCCTTCCCAAAAGGTGAAACACAGGAGGACATGAAACTGCTGGGAAAATCTCCTTGAGGCACGGAACAAAGCAAGTCTGCCCCTGTGGGGATCTTGGTCCTCACGAGGACCCCAGGTAAACAGGTCACAAGGAGTTTCGATCAAAGCTTCAGCGCAGGCATCTGCCGGAGCAGTTTTACAGCAAAAGCAAAGTATGGGGACGAGGACGCAGGCTTCTTTAGAACAGTGGTTCTCACACTTTGCTGCACACTGGAATTACCTGGAGAGTTTTTAATCTGCCCTGTGTAAGCTATGACCCTTAGCAATTAAATCAGAATTCCTGGGGGTGGCACCCAAGCATTCAGAGTTTATAAAACTCCCCAGGGGATGCCAAAGGGCAGACAAGTTTAAGGACAGGACCTTGCTATTCAAAGCGTGGCTGATGAACCAGCAGCCCGGGTTATTACCCGAGAGCTTGTTAGAAACGCAGAATCTCAGGTCTTATCCTAGACCCACTGAATCAGAATCTGCTTTTGATCAATGTCTCCAGGGATCTGTGTGCACATAAATGTCTCAGAAGCACTGCTCTGGAAGGCCTAAGCGGTTCCAAAGCAAGATGCACTGGCGACAGGCGCTGGGCACAGCCCCAAAAACACCTACTCCAAGACACATGGAGGCTATATCATTAGAGAGAGTTCTGTTCATCACTGGCATTCCAGAAACATGAGGCTCTGCAGAACAATGCTGGAGGGAAAGAAGGAGATCTCGGGCAAAATTTGCCAAGTTGTCAACAGTGGCTGCCTTCCGCAGGAGGGGTAGTGAAGCAGGAAACTTGAATTTTTGTATTCTGTGCAATCTACATTTCCTAACTCGTGGGTGCAAGTGTGTGTGTGTGTGTGTGTGTGTGTGTGTGTGTGTGTTTGGGGACTCAGTGAGGATTATCTGGATTGTGAGATTATGGGATATTTTTTAACATTTTCTTTATTAAAAAACCTAATAAATGGTAGCATATTTTAAAAAGCAATACACAAAGCAAAAGCTATTAGGAATACCAAGATAAATTTAGCAAAATCACAATCTTAATAGGATACCTTAATATTATTGCATCGCTTTGTCAAATCAAGTAGCAAAAAGAAATAAAAATACGGAAGCTATGAATAACTTCATTAATAAGGTTATTTACTAGATATATTTCAAAATCTATAATGTACAGACATAGAATACATAATCTTAAACGTTGCACCTAGCATTTTTTAAAAAAATGAAACACTTTTCTAGCCCGCAAAGGAAATGTAAGCCACATGAGGGCAGAGAACACAACGGTCCTGTCACCACTGATTCTCAGTGCCTAACACTGTGGCTGACATAATGTCAGCGCTCAATAAATATTTATTATAGGAAGAAGGCTATATTTTCAAACCTAAATGCAATAAAATAAGAAGTTGAGGAGGAAAGTTTGAACAAATCAAAAGATCAAAGCATTTGGAATACAAAAGAAACTCTTCCTCAAATAATCTTTAAAGTCAATATAATATTGACTGCAACTCCAGAGAATTTTCGTGGAAATTTACAAGCTGATTCTAAAATTAATATGGAAGAGCAAATGCACACACATTTATCGAATAAACATTAAACATAATGTTTGTGTTCATCTATAAGATTCATAAGTTTGCAAATTAAAATGGTGAGAAATTAAAATGGTGTGACATTGGTACAGGAGAAATCAACAGGTAAGAGAACTGAGTAGAGTTCACATATATCCTATCCATTGATTTATTAATCTAAATAAGATGCCATATCAAATGGGTGAGGAAGTTATATACCCCTTGACATATGAAAAAATAAAAGTAAATCCTTACCTCACACTATCCATAAGGAAAATTTTCCAGTGGATGAAAGTCCTAAAGCAAAACACAAAACAATTGTGTGAGGAGAAATACAGGAGATTGTATGATCAACCTGGGAAACTTCTTAAATAATGCACGAAACCCAAAAGCCATAAATGCAACATTTAGTAAAGCTGACTACTCTATAAGCCATAAGTCTTGCAAATCGTTAAGAAAAAGACAAACTAGAATAGGAAATGGACAAAGACTATGAACAGGCAATTCACAGAAAAGGAAATGCAAATGGGCAGTAATCATATCCTAAAAGATGTTTCATTTTACTAGTAATCAGGATGAAATGCAAAGTAAAATAAAGGAACAATTTACAACGACGAGTTCAGCAAATTTTTTTCAAGATCGATTATAACAAGTGTTGACAGGATGGGGGTAAAAGATTTATACAGTATGCGAGGAATAAAAAATGTATATGAAAATGTATATAGAATGGCATTCCCACTTTGAAGGGCATTTAGGCAGCATCAAAATGAAAAAATGCATATTCTATATGACAACACCACAACTTTGCTTCTTATAGAAATCCTGGCATGCATTCCTAAGGCAGCTAGTACGTGATTTTGACTGCAACATTCCCTTTAATAGCAAAATCTGGAAATAATCTTAGCGTCCAAGTGAAATGTGGTTGAATAAAGTATATTAAATCCATACTATGCAATAAACTGCAACAGTGAAAATCAGTTTGATGCATAGATACTGACAGGAAAGATGTTTATTACTGATAGAAAAAGAAAGATACAGAAGAGCATATACAATAGGATACTCTATATGTTAAAAAAAATCCACAGCAAAACTGTATTTTCTCTAAGTGCTATACATAAATGCCAAAAAATCGGAACTGCCACTCAATATGGCAAAGTGAAATAATGCGGTGCCCCTTTCTGCTCTCATCTAGAATCTTCCTAGAAATTCTATATAAAATATTCCACAAAATTTTCAAAACACAGACCTATTCAATCTCTCTTTCTGTCACACACACACACACACACACACACACATAAATACACATAAATGAAAATGCTCAGATATGAGAAATCAAGAGGGATGTTTTCAAAAACCAGAGCTGTAGATGTGCAAACTAAAGTTCACTAGCCCTGAGGTGAGAGACCAGACATTAAATAGATAATTAATTTGGAGAAGTCTTGAAACAATGTAGAACTATATTTCTAGACAAAATAACATGCATAGTGTGGGAGAGAGTGGTCATCAAATCCCTGGACAGGTTAGGAGAAGGGTGTGATTTACCGACTAACTTGGACTTTGGTAATTCAAGCGTGAGTTATAAGAATTTAAGCTTATCATCTAAAAGCAGAGAAATAGATGCTAGAACTTCCAAACCACTGGAGGAGAACAAAGGAAGCGAGGGAATAAAGGAATCTGATCCATCACATACAAGGCAGAAAATAGGAGCAGGGAGAGAATAAAAAAAGAGAAAGCATAGGAAACAGCACAAGATGGTCGGAATACATGTTAGTATTAAAAGTAAATATAAGTGGACCAACTCTGTCAATTAAAAGACAAAGATGCTTAGACTGGGGAAGAAAAAAGAGAACAGCTATAAGCAGTGTAGATTATGTCTCAGAAAGACTGAATATAAAAGAACAGAAAATGCTAAATCAGAGAAATTTAATTAAAAAATAACTTAGAAAGTGGTGTAGCTATATTAACATCCGGCAAAATAGATTTTGAGGCAAAAGTAGAGATAAACAGTGATGTTACATAATGATACAAAACAATTAAGGGAAAAGATATAAGAATCTTGGGGCATCTGGGTGGCTCAGTCGGTTAAGTCTCCGACTCTTGATTTTGGCTTGAGTTTTGATCTCAGGGTCGTGATAGCAAGCCGCACGTTGGGCTCTATGATGCGTATGGAGCCTGCTTAAGATTCTTTCTCTCCCTCTCTCTCTCTGCCCCCCCTAAAAAACCCAAAAACATTTAAGAATCTTAAACTTGTGTGCACCTAACAACAACCTCAAAATTTTGTACAGCCAAACATGGCTGGAATTATAAGGAAAAGCAGACACATCCACAATCACAAAGGGAGATGTTTAATGAACTCTCCCTCATATACATGTCAAGCAGATGAAAAATAAAATGAGTAAAGATAAGGAAAACTTGAACAATACAGTTAACAAGCCTGAATGTGTAAATCTGTTTAGCACCCTGTACTTAAAATTTAGAGATAAATCAATCTTTTTTTAAAAAAAGATTTTATTTATTTATTTGACAGAGATCACAAGTAGGAAGAGAGGGGGAAGCAGGCTCCCTGCTGAGCAGAGAGCCAGATGAGGGACTCAATCCCAGGACCCTGAGATCATAATCTGAGCTGAAGGCAGAGGCTTAACCCATTGAGCCACCCAGGAGCCCCTAAATTAATCTTTTCAAGCATCTATGGAACAGTTATAAAAATAACCAAAAGCTAGACCAGACTAGTCTTTGAAAACTCCAAGACATGCAGATCATATACTCTGACAACAAATAAAATTAAAAATAAATTACAAATAGATGGCTAACACACCCCATTTAGAAAATTTAAAAAAAATAAAAATACTATATTTTAAAAATATGGAAAGCAATATTGAAAGAAGAAAGTGCTTTAAAAAGATGGAAAATCACCACGTTAAGCATCCAATCTAGTAGTTAGCAAAAAAGTAACTAAGTAAACTCAACGGACAATGATAAAAATGAGAACAAAGAAAACAGAGATCAATTATCTATCAATTAAATTAACAGGAGACCGGAGGGGCACCTGAGTGGCTCAGTCGGTTAAGCATCTACCTTCAGATCAGGTGCTGATTCCAGGGTCCTGGGAGTCCCACATCGGACTCCCTGCTCTGTAGGGAGCCTGCTTCTCTGCTTCGCCTTCTGCCTCTCCCTCTGTGTGGTCTTTCTCTCAAATAAATAAATAAATCTTTAAAAAAATTAACAGTAGAGAAGATTTTTTAAGCCCCTCAATCAGTTCTTCGCAAAGACTAATATACGAACCTCTACCACGATTTATCAAGAAAAAAGAGAGAGAAGGCACAAATAAACAATATTAAGAATGAGCAGCAGGGGGACAAAACTTCAGACATAATAAATCATAGGAGGACAGTGCAAAAAGTTTATAACAATGAATTAAAAATGTGAACAATTTCATAGATAAGTGTAATTTATAAAAGTGATACAAGAAAAAAGAAACAACCTGAATGGAGTTTTAATCACTAATAAAATGGTATCCATATTTTAGAATCATCCACAAAAACAAAACAAAACAAAATCATCCAACACCGATGATTCTATAGGTGATTTACCAAAACTTCAAGGAATAGAAAATCCTTATTCTTTACAACATGTTTTAGTGAATGGGGGAAAAAATGGGAAAGCTCCTTAACACATTTTATGAAGGAGGGACAACCTTAATACCAAAACAGACAAGGAAGCTACACGGACTGCCTGTTGTAAGACATGTGAACATAGATATAAATATCTAAATATTAAACAAATTGAGCAATGAGTGAAAAATAGAGCAAGACATTATAACAAGCAGAGATTATTTGAGGCAAGCATAGATAGTTTAGCACTTAAAAATATTAATGTAATTAGCCCAGTAATATATATATATATAGTTTTAAATTTTATTTATTTTTTAAGTAATCTCTACACCCAATGTGGGGCTCAAACCTACGACTCCAAGACCAAGTGTTGAATGCTCCACTGACTGAGCCAACCAGAAGCCCCATAGCCCAGTAATACTAAAACAAACAAACAAACAAAAATTATCATCTCAATATATGTGGGGAAAAGCACGTGATAAAATTGAATACTTATTTATGAAAAGTTACCTAGGAAATAGAAAGGAGCTTATCTGGTCTCGTAAAGGGTATGTATTGGTCAAAGGGCATAAAGTTCCAGCTATAAGATGAGTAAGTTCTGGGGCAGGTAAAGCATGGTGACTGAATAATTCTGTATTGTACATATGTAAGTTGCTAAGAGCGTAAATCTTAAACATTCTCACAACGACCACCACCATCACCACAACGAAACTGGTAATTATGTGAGGTGAGGTGAGGATGTACTAACTAACCTTGTTATGACAATCATTTTGTAATATATACATATAGTAAATCATCCCACGGTACAACTTAAACTTGCATGATATAGATGTCAATCATATCTAAATAAAGCTGGAAAAAAATAAGGTAAAAAAAAAGTTTCAACATACTTGATAGTACTGAAGAGTGAAAAGCATTTCTGTGAAATTCAGAAAGAAGCAAAAAAAGACCACTATCACCACCTGTATTCAATATTAGACAAATACAATTGAGGAGGCCAAAGACGAAAGACATATGGATTAGAAATGACAGAACTGTCATTATTCCCAGATTTAAAAATCATTGCGTATGTTTGAAAAAATTCCAGGAAAATCTACCAACACACTATCAGAAGAATAGAGTTCCTCAAGCCTGCTAAATACAAATCATATATATAAAAATTGACTGCATTCCTATCCAGTAGGAGCAGTTAAAAAGTGTAATTCAAAAAGAAGACAACATTCGCCATGACAACATCCGTAAGATGCATAAGAACTTTGAAAATCATAAAAACTTCCCTGAAGGACATAAAAGGCTCAATGCAGAGATAACTAATTCATGTTAGTGGATGCAAAGACTTGATATCACAAAGATGGCAATTGTGTCTAAACTGAAGGACAGATTTGACACAGTGTCATTCCAAAACATCAAGGGAATTCTCCATGGAACTCGATAAGCAGATCCCAAAGTATTTATGGAATTATAAAGGGTCAAGAAGAGCTTTTTTCCCAGTGTGTGTGTAAGGTAATGTAATCTCCGATGTATTCTTCTGCCGGATATGAAGACTTACTCTGAAGCTAGAGTAACTAAAATAACGTGGCATTAGTGCCAGGACAGACAAATAGGTCAAAAGAACAGTGGAGAGAGCCTGGAAACTGAGCCACATGTATACGGGACCAGCACAAATGAGTGACTAAAGAATGGACT